TAAAGACACTTTGAGACACTTAGAAACAGGTCAAGGACCCAGAAACATTTAAAGAACATTGGAGACAATTAGAGGACATTAGAGTGTGCTCTGAGGTACTCATACCTGATCTCTAAGGTACCTGTATCTGTACTCTGAGGTACTGGTACCTGTACCAGCTGAAACTGGACCTTTCTTGAACAGTAAAGTTAGATGCCTGGTGTCCTACCATCTTCCCGATCATCATGACGTAGGGGCCCAGGTACTTGTTGACTCCGAAGATGTCGAGCACTCGGATGTACCAGAAGATGATGTCGACGCAGTAGATGACGCGTCCGTAGCCCATGTAGGGTTGGTTCTGCAGCCGCAGCAGGAGGCCCAGCAGGAACACCCAGATGGCCACCAGGTCGGTGATGTTCCAGTAGTCCTCCAACCACACGTTGATCTTCTGCTTCAGCTTCCCGGGTTCTGACATCAGGATCTGACAGGAGGGTTGGTAATATGATACGTTGTAATCTAATGTTCAAGGAACGTTTTAAAGATATTTATCACTTCCAACAATGTTCTGCTTTGGATCGTTGGGTTCTCTGTGTACCTCTGCGAGGTCTCTACCGGACCTGTCCAGGCTGTGTGATGACATGTTGTAAACTGAGCTACACAAATAACAATGACTTGAATTGACTCGACTTGACAGATGATTGATCTTCTATCACATTTTTCCACAGTTAAAACAAACGAAGGATGTTCTCAATGCAACATTCGGAAAACTTTTTCAAGATGTTGAGAACTTTGATGACAGAAGTTCTTGTTCTGTGATACATTAACAAAGGTGGCAGATGGTTCTGAAGATGTTTTGGGGATGTTGTTGAGGGAACACTATGTGGAATCTATGAAACCTTCCCACAATGTTCCACTATGTTCCATGATGATGAAGGAAGGACGTTCTCAGTGCCTTTCAGAGAACATTCTGGGAACTGAAAGAAAACTTCCTGCTGAAAACATTAGTAGAACTTTGCAGAACTTTCTCAGAAGATTTTTATTACAAAAAAACCCCAAAAACCCTTTTTTGAAGAAATAAGTGGAACAAACTGCTGAACACAGAAACTGTTTCCAAGCAGAACCACAAACCTTCGGACATCAGAGTCTCATTGCCTGAGTTCACTTAAACTGGAACTGACTTATGAGCTTCATAAGAATTTTAAAAGCAGAACTTCGACTGTTGTAAATTGACTCATTGTTAAATTAAGTTGCTCCAACTAGATTTTCTTCAGAATTTTCTTTTTTTTTTAAGTGTTTTTGTTCATTCAGCAGCTTTTAAATAAATAATTGATTCAACAAATAAACTTTTCCTTTCACTTTGAAGTTCAGTCGTATAGTCGAACACACAGTATTTAAATATCTACAACTAAAACAAACAATGAATTCAGACAGGTGTGCTCGGCGTCTACCTGTCGGACTTTCTCCAGGCCCAGAGTGATGATGTAGGAGATGACGATCCACTCCTGCAGCGACGGCCAGCGCTCCATCTTCACCAGGATGATGTAGTTGTACAGCATCAGGTAAACCAGGTACGAGATCTGACAGACACAGGTGAGCTGCTGCTCAGGTCACACGGTACAGACAACATGGCAGCATTCACCTGAACTCAGGTGAGCTCTGGTTAAAGGTCTCACACAGCAAACACACCGCCTCCTGATATTCATCATATACACACAGAATGAAGTGTGTCGTATTCATCCATCATTACTCACTGACCCGTTTCCTGTCTCTAATATTAAGAAGAACTCAGATGGGTTTAAACTCTGACAGCTGGGACTCAGTCAGTGTTCTGCTTCTGTATCTCCTTTCTACCGTAGAGCTGCTCAAAGCGCTTTCCATTCATCCGTTCACACACATCCATACACCGATGGCCACAGAGCTGCCATCCAAGGGGCTGCCTGCCATCAGGAGCAACTTCAGGTTCAGACTTCTGCCCAAGGACACTTTGACTGTGGAGGGGATGGAACCACCAACCTTGCGATCAGTGGACAACCCGCTGTACACCTGATGCTGCAGATCTCTGTCGTTAGAAGCTATGAGCAGTGGGAGGCGCTCATTGTTCAGACCTGCTATGACTCAGTAACCACATCTGGCAGCTGTGTTACCTCCAAGTCAGAGCAGTGAAGACCAAGTTTAACCTCCAAGAACCAAGAACCAAGCCCTGGTTCTCCACTAACTCCTCCTGATGAGGTCTTCTGTTTCTAACATCTGTTCTGATGTTCAGATGCTCTGCTGGACCAACAGCCAATAGGAGGCCTCGTATGAGCAGTGACATCACAACAATTCAGACCAATGAGGTTTGAGATCTCTGCAACCAAGGTTCTGACTAAACTGGATGGCAGCGATCTGACTGGTTTGACTGGTCAGAATGATGGTACAAAGATCTGGAAAAAAAGCACTTTTCAGTTGGTAATGACCACAGAAACATCAGGAACATGTTTCATCGTGCAGATGCTCCATCAGTCACACTGCTGCACGGCACCAAGTCCACACAGGAGCAGAACCTCAGTAGTCTGTTCTGTACCAGCATTGCTTCCACTGTGGATTGTTTTCTGAATGAATCGAGCAGCTGTTTGGTTTAAAATGTCAGAAAATCGTGAACCACGATTGAGTTTCCTCAAACGTCTTGTTTGGTCCAAAGATGTTCAGTTTACTGTCACAGAGGAAAGAAACCAGAGAACATGAAGAAGCTGAAACCACAGACTTTACTGTTTTTATCAAAGAAATGCACAAACTGATTAATCAGCATCGGAAATCGTTGGAGGAGAAGTTAATCAATTATTTCATTAATCATTGCAGCTCTAATTTTGGGAAACTGGTTATTTAACTGCAATCAGAGACGACAGCTCACATCAAAGACACCACTTCACCTCTTCACCACTTCATCTCTTCACCACTTCATCTCTTCACCACTTCATCTCTTCACCACTTCACCTCTTCACCACTTCACCACCACAGTAAACTCTGCTGATGTTCAGAACCTCCAGCTGTGTGTGAATGAAGTGGACCCACCGTGTTGAACCAGAACTTGGTGAACGGAGCGTTGTAGAACTCGTAGATCTTCCTCCCGATGGGAATCCTCCTGCGGTGATTCTTCTGGTTCTCTTCTTCGTCTCCCTTCTTGGACACAGCGTCCACGTTGGAAACGGCGTCCTGAAACAAACCGCTGGTTACTCAGACTGCTCCAGTCAGACCTGAACACACCTGCTGCTTTGTCTGTTTCATACCTTGTTGGATTTGTCGTCATCTTTACTTTTAACGTCGTCGCTGTCTTTGGACGAATGATGTGAAGCTTCGTCTCCGAGACGAAAGTCCATGAGCAGGATGGCAGGAGGGAAGACAATCCCTACGATCACCTGCAGACGGTCGACAGAAGGCTGTTAACAGGACGGTTTTTGTTCACGTCTAACTTTTAGCTTCATGCTGATGAGCAGGCGGTTACTGTCTAACGGCCTGAGGTCCGGCAGAACCTCGGCGCTGAGCTGCTACCTTCAGGCTGTTGCTCTTGCCCATCCTCAGGCAGCCCATCCACATGTCGGTCAGCAGCATCTGGCTGCAGGTGTGGGCAATGAAGTCTCGGTGTTTGGCGGCGACGGCCAGCTTCAGGCAGGTGGAGTTACTCCAGTTCTTCAGCTCATAGGTCAGCAGCTTCATGGCCACCTGCTCGTCGTGTTTGTACGACTGGTCCAACAGCTCGTAGGCCAGCTGACCGAACTCCCTGCAGAGACACAGCAGCGCCACCGTCAGGCCACCAGGCTCACTGCACTCCACAAAAACCTCACAGTTCTTACCAAGTGTTCAAGCCAGACTCCCTAACATGGAAAACCTGGATGTGGATCTAAGAGGACTCAGGCCGATATTCAGAACCACCTGCTTGATGTAGGTCCGGACCCGAACTCAGCTTGAACTAGAACTCCACACTAACCGGTGCTTCCAGCTTGTCCAGTTGCTGGTTGCTGCCCTCCTTGATTTCTCTGGTACAGTTCGGTATGAATTTAACTTTCATACTGACTAGTAATGCAAACTGACAGTTTTCCTCTAAAATATGGCTGCATTGTCAATCAATAACTAACTAATTGTGAACATACTTTTTTTCATATGCTGATAAAGATTTATTAAACCATGAATTGACAAAAAAACATCTTGGTTACATTAATCAAGCAGCTTTAGAAACACTGTCCAGGTTGACGACAGATAATCAGGTAATTAGAGTTCTGCTTGGAGGTCCTGAACCTCCTCAGAGTCTCTGTCATGTCACGGTGCTGCTCAACTCCCACAATGCTCTCTGCTGCCACCAGGAGGCTGTAGATGCCTCCTCTGGTCTCTACAGGACTAAACAGGAAGAGGCTCCACCTGGTGGAACAACCAGGTACTGCAGCTGGTCTACGGTACAGTTACTGACCTGCTTGACTTTTGTCTGCTGCCTTTTCAGTTAATAAGCTTTTAATTTGTTAAATTATTAATGGAACTGAATCAATTACCTGATAACGACTACCATCTTTGATGCTAATAAATGGTTGTCTTGCATACAACAGTTTAACATTGATGTAAAGATTAACAACGACTTGAGACTCCTTAATACATACATATATATATAATACCGGCTTTGCCTGAAGTTTCTGATATCACTGATAGAAAATGGGCTGAAAATCTGAAGATCTTTAGAGACTACAGTCAACAAAACGTTTGCTTATGCAGTTGTTTTTGGAGGTGTGATAAACAGGGTCCAGTTCTAGCTCAGGTCCTGGACTCACTTGGAGTTGTTCTCCAGGTCCTGGTAGATGTCGTCCACCAGCTCGCTCTGGGACGACTCATGGGCCATGGCCTTGTAGAGCTTACAGGCCACCAGAGCCTTGGCCATGGCCTCCTCACCGCGCTGCCACAGGAACAGCGCCATCTTCTGACGCTTCATCAGCACCGCCCACACCATCAGCTCGTGGAACGGGTATTGGAACCTGCTGACCTCGGGGTCGTCCACGTCAATGTCCACCTCCTCCTCCTTCTTCTTGTTCTTCTTTCCCTTTCCTTTGGGTCGGGGCTCATCATCCTGCAGGAACCGGACCAGAACTGATCAGGCAGTGTTCCTTTTAGGACAGATGGGTTACAGTTAAAAATCTACAGAGACTCATACGTACCTCCATACCGAGAAGCTTCAGAGCTTTGGGCTGTCAGACAGAAGACACACTGATTACAGGATGCACTGATGCAGGTGGAGGTGGGTTCACCTCCAGATCTTAAATTCAAATGGGCCTCAGCGGTCAGTGGACCTGCAGATGTGCTGTTTGTGGATCGACTCACTCTTTTGAGGCCGTACAGGTTGTTGTAAAGCGTCCTGAAGGTCTTCCTGGTGTAGTTGCAGCGGTACGCTCCGCCCATCAGGAGCTCCAGCACCAGCCCGATATCGATGAGTGTGATCTGGTAATCTGGAGGAAGGTTCCCCTGAAACACACACAGACAGGTTTATTTAAATGGAATACTTCATTCAAGGGTAATTCCTGCCTCTGTGTCTGTGAGCAGCTCTGGACAGATCTGGTCTGGACCTCACAGCCAACACACGCTTTAGAACTTGAACTGAGTCAGCAGCAGCAGATGTGACGTGTTGTCTGTTGATCCTTTATCGATCTATTCAGCTTCTTGGTGTCTGATGCACAACAGACAGTGAAAAATCTGCACACATTCAAGAACCAAACCTCAGAAAACATTTTCCTGATCAAGTTATGGACTCGTTGACCAGTTTAAAATCTCTTTTAATACAGTACACTGTCCATTTAGTGAATTATGGATCCATTTACAGGAAAACAGACAATGAAGCAGGACATGATCCAGGTTGTTCTCCGCTCTGGTTTAAAAATACCAAGAAGGCAAATTCCAAACACTTCAAACCACCGCCTACACGTCTGTCTTTATATACGGCCTTCCAGCAGACGGACACACCAGTGGGTTCAAGCACCTTCTACCAGCCACACACTGTAAAAACAGAAATAATCTTCAGATTTTCTACTTGTCATCTTGGGCTCTGGGAAGTTTTCACCATTTCCTGTAACTTTATTGACCAAATCACTGAGTGCTTCATCCAGAACCAGGTGAGTTGTAGTGGTACCTGACGGCGGCTCAGTCTGGGCTCAGTTCTCACCTTCTTGACATCTCGGACCACAAAGTGCAGCGTGTTGGCTGGTCCCAGCTTCTGCAGAACCAAACCAAAGACAGAGAGATGGAAGGTAAAGGTTTGCTGTGGCTGCAGTGATTACTGACACTTCAGAGGCACATTAAGGGATTAATTAGTGACTGATGAGCAGCAGAGTTTAATCTGGCATGTTGTTGTTTAAAGAGCAGCAGATTGAGATGAGAGGCAGCAGAAGACGCAGCGCTGATGGACGCTAAGCTGCAGCTCAGCATGTCATGAGAATATAGAGATTAAAGCTGAGAGCTTTTGTTCTGCTTTATCTGATTCATTCAGAGAGCGGCGCATCTCACTGGACCGAGGTTCGTCCTGTGAGGAGCATCAATGTGAGCCCACTTGTCTGTGCAGGTTTCAGACCTTTAACGTTTTAATGTGAGTTTTCATGTTGTTCTTCATGCTGTCCTGACAGTGGCTCAGTTCACCAGAACCTTCCTGGTTCTAGAAGTCTTGTTCACTGGTTCTGCTCGACCGGCTCTGAGCTCAATGAAATGTTTACGGCACAAAATATAGAATTGTTTTTACAATATCTGTGAAATTTTAGCTTGATGTTTTAAAATCAAATTGCCTGACAACCGACTTTCAGCAACTTCAGGAAGGAATTTCCTTCTGGATAAATAAAGTTGAATCTAATCCTACAGATCATCTGAAGCAGCTGCTGAGCTCCAGAGTTTCATACAAGCTTGAACTAAACTACACTCAGTGTGACACGGACAAGTCCTCAGAATGAAATGGTTTTTTATGTCCTCTTTGAGGTCTTCTGGTTCTGCCAGTTCATCCTGTGGATGTTCTAGGTTTTTTAAAATGATTGTTTTCCAGAACACAAACCCAACAGTGGTGATGCTTTTCCAGACAGCGTGTGTTTTGTGGATATTTTTTCATCAGCGTGACTCAGAGCAGCGTCTCAGTTCAACAGAGCCCAGCTGCTAAAATGTGACACCATCAAAATGTTCATTTCACAAATAAAAAGGAGACGGAAGACGAAGAGAACGGACTCTTAGTGATACTGAAGCATATTAATGAGACCACTGATTAGAGCTGAGGTTCTGGATCAGGACTGTGGCGCCTCTGATGACCTGTGTCAACAGCTTTTCTACATGAATTCTTTTCAGCCAAACACCAGCTCTGCTTTTTAACTGATTTATGTTTCTTGAAAAGCCTTCATGGCGGAGCTGAACATCTCACGTGAACAGCAGAGTTCAGGCTCCGTGAGCTCATCGACCTTCTTCAGAGTGTGAGGACTGCTGCTCGTCAGTCTGCTGTTTTCTCTGAAGTGTTGCTGCTGCTGAAGGTGAAACTTCCTCTAAAATATCATTTTGTGAAACTCATGTTTCACCAACTGAAAACTTCTCTTACAACTCAACATGACGCGGACGTGCTGCTGCAGCTGATGCTGCTCAGCTGACACCAGGGTGGGACCAAGTCTCAGAGAAGGTGTGGATGTGATTTTGTGCCTGAACAAAGCAGCTGCAGCAGAATGAAGTCAGCTTCCATCGTTTACCGTGTTTATATAATCTCTGTTTAAATCTGTCACTGCTCTGATAGAACAGGCAGAACTTGGATGAAGGGACCAGGTGTCACCAGCAGGAGGCGCTAAAGCTGCACTGCAGTCTGTAGTACTTGACACTGAAGTCCTGTTTGTTATTGGCTCTATCTGTGCTGATTCTGGTTCGCCTCCACAGACGGGTTGAAGTCATTGCTCTGCATGTTCACTGTCTGCAGCCGTGAATCTGTTCTCAGGCTGTTCACTGTGATTCACCGGCAGTGACTAGAATTAGAAAACTACAATAAAATGAATAACAACCTCTCTGTAGGACACGTCTCACAGCAGCACTGATGGCTGCTGAAGCATCACTGTGGTTCTGTCATCGCTCCTGGAACTACAAGAAGAATTAAATATGATTTTTTTCTCATCGTCAGATTACGGAGGGGCAGCTGCTCCTCGTCTGTCCGTATTTTAATGTGATTTTCCTGTTAAAAGAATCTCTAGCACTGACTTCTAACAGTTCACATTGGTATGAAAAGAACTGCCTTCTATCAGATAATCGATCGACTGATTAATCACTTCATGTCAACACATTTTTCCACCAACAAAGCAACAAGGATCATTTCATGTAAGTTGACGTTGTCGGGACAATCTGTGTGTGATCGTATGAAGCAGCAGAAATGTCTGAAGCAGCTCTGAGGAGATAAAGAAACTCCTTTTCTCCTTATGGGGGCTGATCTCCGAATGCTGGCAGCAGCTTTACGTTCTCTGTAGAACATCTGAGCTCAGCCGCTGTTTTGTTGTTCAGGTGTTTCTGCTGCTGTCAGATTCGGGTTCCACTGTGGAGGTTGTGCTGCTCCCAGTGAGCTCAGCCTCACCGTGTTGTAAAGCTCCTCCAGCCGAGGGATGGTCAGGAAGTGGTGGATGTTCACTCCGTTCTCAATCAGCAGCTTCACAAAGTCGACCCGATCCAGCACCAGAGCGTCCATCATGGCCTGCTCCAGAGAGTTCACCTGTCCAACAGAACACCACCTTCATCAACATCATATTCATCACCTCCGTTATCATCATCACCATCACCATCATCATCATCTCCTGAACTCAGTTTTCTTTGACTGTAACCAGAGGGCTGGACTATGAAGCCAGATCAGTGGCTTATCAGGTATGTTGAGCCTAAAGTCAGAGTTTTCAGCGTCAGAAGGTTTCCATGGTAACTGATGCTGTGGAGCTAGGTCTCCATGGTAACTGATGCTGTGGAGCTA